GTGTGTATGTGTGAGTGTGAGTGTGAGTGTGAGTCTGTCTGTCTGTCTGTCTGTCTGTCTATATATATTGTAATTTTTATTATTTTCATAGTTTATATTATAGAATTCACGTCTGCTCTCACGTGTGTGTGTGTGTGTGTGTGTGTGTGTGTGTGAGTGTGTGTGTGTATATATATATTCACTAACTGTATACAAAATAGAGCTGATTCCTCTTAATTACTACAGTGGTGATTTTAATTTCAGCATTGCATGATGATTCTAGGTGTTGTTGACGTATTAGATTTGTGCTGTTGTATGATGGTTGTGTGTTTGACTGACAGGTGGTGGGTCTGTATCGTCTGTGCGGTTCGGCTGCGGTGAAGAAGGAGCTGCGGGAAGCGTTCGAGAGGGACAGTCACTCCGTCGAGCTCTCGGAAAACAACTACCCTGATATTAACGTCATTACAGGTACTGAATGTGAACGCTTACATGCACACATGCTACAGTCACACACGTTTGCTGTGATTTCACACTGAACTAAAACCATTTTACTTGAAGTCTAGTTTTGGAGTATTAAGATGAAATGTGAATGAACCTGTGTGTGTGTGTGTGTGTGTGTGTGTGTGTGTGTGTGTGTCATATGGCCTTTGTGAATGAGATTAACCAGAGGTCAGAGGTCAACACAAAGCTTGCAAAATACACACAGTAACAAGGCCAGCAGCTTCTTTGTGTTCAGCTCTATGAGTGTCACAACAAACACACACACACACACACGCAAGCACACACACAAAGACACACACACACAAAGACACACACACACAGACACACACACACACAGACACACATCAAACAGACACACAGAAGGAACAGAGTGTAACATTTAGCGGGACAACTGAGGTCAGTGTTGTAATGAGGACTAGAGCTGTGCGATATATTATGCATGACCATTCAAAAGTTTGGGCTTAGTAAGTTTTGTTTTTGTTTTTTTGTGATTTTATTCATCAAGGACACATTAAATTGATCAAACGTGACAGTAAAGATTTCTTTTTCAAATAAATGCTGTTCTTTTGAACTTTCTATTCATCTGTGAATCCTGAAAAATAAAATGTATCAGTTTCCACAAAAATATTCATCAGCACAACTGTTTTCAACATTGATAATAATCAGAAATGTTTCTTGAGCAGCAAATCAGCATATTAGAATGATTTCTGAAGATCATGTGACACTGAAGACTGGAGTAATGATGCTGAAAATACAGCTTTGCAGTACAGGAATAAATTACACTTTAACAGATATTCACATAGAAAACAGCTGTTTTAAATAGTAGTAATATTTAATTAATTTTACAGCTTTTAAAAAAATAAATGCAGCCTTGGTGATCAAAGATTTTGCTGCTGATGTAAAACGTGCTGTTGAGTTTGATGAAGTGCAGATGTTCTCAAGTATTATGTAAATACATATTCATATTTATATTTATACAGCTGTATATACAGTATATACAGCTGTATAACGCATAATGCTTACTTATTTACCTGTTCTCAGTGTCATGTACAGTATTATATGTATGTATGTGTGTTTGTACCAAGAGTTCCTAAAACACAACAAATTCCATGTGTGTGTGTGTGTGTGTGTGTGTGTGTGTGAGAGAATATTGTGTTTTCTTTAGGTGCCTGTGACATTCTGCTGTCACGCACACTTCCTATGTCAAAGGTCACGTCTGACTGAATTAGCGCTTCTATTTACAGTCTGTTAATTGGCCTGTGAAAAACTCTTTTTTTTCTTTGGCTTTTGGCTTTGGCTCACCAAAGTTGCATTTATTCAATCAAAAATAGAGTATTTAAATTTTGAAATTAAAAGTAAAATTTGAAATATTATTATAATTTAAAATATCTGCTTTCTATGTGAATATCTGTTAAAATATAATGTATTTCTGTGATGCGCAGCTGTATTTTCAGCATCATTACTCCAGTCTTCAGTGTCACATGATCTTCAGAAATCATTCTAATATGCTGATTTGCTGCTCAAGAAACATTTCTGATTATTATCAATGTTGAAAACAGTTGTGCTGCACAATATTTTTGTGGAAACTGATACATTTTATTTTTCAGGATTCACAGATGAATAGAAAGTTCAACAGAACAGCATTTATTTGAAATAGAAATCTTTTGTAACATTATAAATGTCTTTACTGGCACTTTTGATCAATGTAATGCATCCTTGATGATTAGAAATATTAATTTATTTTGCTCAGGCTCTGTTTTAATGTCATCCGCTCAGTCTCTAGTTGCTCAGGTCTGAATTCTACGTCTGGATCGTTCGCTCTCTCGTTGTTCCAAACTCAACAGTCCGGGCCAAATTCCAAAACACAACAATAGCTGGCTCCGGCACTGATCCCAGGCCTGTAGAGTGGGAACGAATCCAGTCTCCAAATGATATTTCCTTTCATTTGTCAGTTTGTTTAGTCTCACTGAATCAGCAGATCTTAGACTGTACTTTCATATCTACAGGACTGCTGGGATTTAAAGTGACAAATTACATTTCTATTAATGGAGAAGCGAGTTGAATTGACTTCCTGAAGAATAAAACACACTGTGACTCTTTCAAAACATTGATCTGTTCTTTTGAGCGGCCTGATGTAACGACTTCTGGCTCGACCAATGGTGTGAGTTTGGGGGCGGGACTATCTGCTTGCCTGACCAATAGCAGACTGACACCACCTCAGCTCAAGTTTATGACTCTATAGCACGGGTGTTTGATCTTTTAGATGCTACAGACCCCCAAATATGATGATCCTCATGCGAGGGACCACTATCCTAAAATTTAAAAGGCATCTGTATAGTTTCTTGTATAAAGATCTAATTGATACCGTGATAAATATGTCAGAATATTATTTTTAAAATATTTAGTTTAAGTTACATTTATTACATTAGATTTATTTTTTCAATGCATTATAGTACTTTATTGTTAGATGTTGTTTATTTATTTAATTATATTATTTTTTACATTTATTAATTATTTATTTTACTTTTTTATATATTTTAATTAATTTATTATAATATTTTACATGCATTTTATTACTTTTTTGTTTATTTACTAATTTATTTATTTATTTTAAACTATTTTTATTGAAATCTATTTTTTATTTGTTCATATTTTTAGTCGTATTTTCATTTATTTATTTGTACATTTTTATTTATTAAAGTGCCCCTATTATGCCATTTTTAAGGTTCCTAATATATTGGGAGGCTCCTACAACAGGTCTACATGCATGCAAGGTCAAAAAACACTTTAGTTTTCTCATAATTTACATTTAATTTCACCGCATTTCTCAATGATTCATAAACGATTCGTTCGAAGCAGTTCTAATATTCAGTCTCTCTAAACCCCTCCTTTCCGTGAGCTTACTCTGCTCTGATTGGTCAGATGGCCAAAATATAAACATGTATTATTAATCAAACTTACAGGTTGTGATTCAGTGGATCCAGCTGATCCAAATAACTCCGCGAGATTAGAGAAGCAGTCGTCAGTAAAATGTCGGGAAAACAAAAAAAAAAGATTGGGGTTGTTCTGGAAAAAAATTATTTTAATCACTGATTCCTTGCAGCCTCATCTTTCGGAAGTGAAAATAAAACTAATTTACTTTCACAGCGTCTTCTTGACCTGATTTGAATTACTAACAACTCGTTTAGGCTGTCGATTCTTTCATTTGGGAGACGAGAACTTTATTTACCGTGCACTGTCGGCTTCACAACTTTGCAGATCGTTTACAATCACATACAGCTACACTACACACTGCCTGAAAGGCAATATTTATTTTAATCTTATTCTGGTTTAATTTCACATTTATTATTTAGTATTTTACATTCATTTTATATGCTTTATAATTTTTTATACTATTTTTATTATTATTTAATTATAATCTTATTTTACTTATTTACTGATTTCTATACTTATTTCTACTCTTTATTCATTTTTTATATTTTTCCCTTTTTAATTTATTATTTTGCATTTATTCTAATGTATTTTAATCTAATTTGTATTTGTTTATTTAATGAAATCTATTTTTGTTTAATTCAGTTATTTTTAGTATTTATTTTAAGTGTATTATTTTATATTTAAATTAATTTACTTATTTTCATTTCATTTATTTATTTTATATATATTACACAATTTTTCTCTAAACATTTCCACTGACCACTAGCTCTATAATAATAATAATAATCATCATCATTTTTAAAGCCTCTTTCCAAAACCCAAGGTCACTTTACAAAGTTAGAAAAAAAAACATAAACAACAAATAGCAAACATAAAAGACAAACAACAAGCATCCATAAGAAAGTACAGGGTCACAGTAGCAGTGTGTTTGTTTCTCTGCAGGCGTGCTGAAGGACTATCTACGTGAGCTTCCTCATCCTCTCATCACCAAGCAGCTGTATGAGTCCGTTCTGGACTCGATGGCCAAGAGGCCGCTGCAGATGGGAAGCGGCGGCTGCGAGAACGACCCGGTCGACTCGGATCACGCCGTCAGCTCACTGGAGCTCCTGCCGGAGGTTGAGAAGGTACCGGAGCGTTCTGGAAAGAAACCATCTGCTGTCCTGTTTCTGATCTCTCACACGTGTGTGTGTTTGTGCTCAGGCGACCCTGCGGAAGCTTCTGGATCACCTGAAGCGCGTGGCGTCCCATCACAAGGTGAATAAAATGACCTGTCAGAACCTGGCGGTGTGTTTCGGGCCGGTTCTGCTCAGCCAGAGACAGGAGGCGTCCTGCCACGGGAACCGGGTCTTCATCGACTCCGAGGAGCTTGCCAGCGCTCTGCACTTCAAGAAACACATCGAGGTCCTTCATTACCTGCTCCAGCTCTGGCCAGGTGAGACACACACCGTCCCGTTCCACCTCGTTTCAAACCAGTCTTTCTATTATAATAATAACTTATTGTTAATGTTGTTGTCGTGGTTATAATAGATACTATATATTTTTTTGATTGTACAGTACAATAGTATTATTGCTGTAATATATTTTTTATTCATTTATTTAATTTCGGATAATGCAATAAAATAACAATATTATTATTATTATATTGATTTGTTTAATTTTAATAAGTCAATAATACATTAGTATTGTTGTTTTAGTAAATACGATATAGTGTTTTACAGTAAACAGAATTATTGCTGTAATAATATATTTATTAATTTGTTTAATTCTTCTTATTATTATATATTAATTGATTTTAAATTTTAATTTTAATAAGTTTAAAAATATGCTGACATCAATAATAACAATAATTTATTATTATTATTATTAATACATGCGATGGCGCCGCAGACGGCAGCCTCAGTGTTTGGCTCTCCAGCACACCGTCCCGTTCCACCTCGTTTCAAACCAGTCTTTCTTTCTCACGTGAAACACAAAAGGAGGTGTGAGGCAGAAAGGTGTTGGGATTGTTTCATGGTGCTTCTTCGCAAATTTGTAATGGGAATCATTTATAAATTGATTATGGAAATAAAGAGAAGATTTAAAGTCACCCTGCATTTTTTTTTTTTTTTGCCAAAATAAAAGCTATGGTTTAACAAAGCAAAGAAATTAAGACAGTGTTGAATATTAGTGTTGTAATTTTACTGTTGTTCTTTAACAACAATAGCAATGATAATAATAATATGTGGTTGTTGTTGTTTAAATTATATATATATATATATATATAATCTATAGCACACCTGTACATACAATTTATTCTTTTTTTGTGGTTTATATTTATGCATGTGTATTTTATTCACATCTCATTTTTATTATCTGTGTTGTTGTTGTCTCCGTGTACTGGAAGCTTGTGACACTATAACAAATTCCTTGTATGTGCAAACATACTTGGCAATAAAGCTCTTTCTGATTCTGATTCTGATTCTGATTAAAAACAACAGTGTGAACAACAGAAAACAACAGAAAAATTGCTATTACATTTGTTTGATCATCATTCAGTCTTAGGTGGTGGTACTAGTATCTACCCGTTTTTTAAATGAAATAATACACCGGACATTTGCAAGTAGTTTTTGTGCAACTTTTGGACCCTGTATGGTACATTTTTCCCACACAAAAGCAAGAACGTCATACGGCTTCAAAACCACACGTGTGTCTGTTGTGTGTCTCGGGGTCGTCTCATAAAACTGTTGCGTCCCGCCACAGGCTGTGATTTCAGACAGATTTCTGCCCCGCTGTGTTGCGTGACTTCCTCCAGCACGCAGGAACGGTACAGTAAACCTCAGTCTATAATTACGCGCATTCCTGTCTTAACCTTCAACTCCGGCCGACCCACCCGCCTCACCCTCAGAACAATCGGCCCGTTTAGAGGGGCCTCTCGCTGCAATAGAGCCTCCGTCAGGCGTGGAGAATCTCCCGTGAGGCCTGCGCTGGGACGACCGTCTTTTTGTCTGCTTGTGTGTCAAACTGTGTGCGTCTCCACATGGGCACATGATATATTGATGCATATTCTTCAGTGTCAGTGTGTTTGTTTTCTTGCATTATGTGCACATAAAAAAATTCTGCAGGGTATTTGTTGTCAGAGTTGCATTAACTTTGAGGTTTTACCAACAGAAAAGCAGACAAAAGTAGCCTACCAGGACAATGTACAATGATAATGTGAAAATTTCTGGGGGAAAAAAATTTTTTTACTGGAAAAATATCTGAACATCAAGTCTAAACTTGTTTGGACTAGTTTTCAGAGAGTATATCTTAAAGCAAGTTTATATACTTAATATATATACTGTAATTTTATATACTAATTATTATTAGTGTAGAAAATATTGTTATTATTTTATATTATTATATATAAATTATTTTGATAATTTAATAAAAAATTATCGTAAGTATTATCATTATATTTATTAATTTGTTCATACAGTTCATAAAATAAAATAATTATGCTGACAATAATAATAATAATAATACAATTATTTCTACTACTACTACTACTACTACAATAAATTAGATATTAAAAATATCTGAACATCGTCTAAACTTATAAAAACATAAGTCTAAACTGAACATCAAGTCTTAAATGTAATTTTTTATTTATTTACATTTAATTTCTATTTCTTAAAATGTATTTTTATTTATCAAATTATTTAAACAGAACTTAGAACTTGATTAACAATGCAAATGATGTCAGTTGATTAACTAAGCTAAGTTAACCAAGTTAAAACCAGCCTGCTGAACAGGTTCTGTGTACATTGAAATTCTAGCCTTCAGCCTGCTTTAACATTCTTTAAGTACTTTTATTGTAAATAACATAATTTGTTAAGGCTAAGAGCTGCAAAGCTAATTGTATAGATCTCTTTGTATGTTGTCCATTGATTTGTGTTTGTTTATTTTACTTGTCCCATCACATGTAGGCCACAGCTAAAGTCCTCAGAGGGTTTAGGGGGCAGATCAGGACAGGTAAACAGGATTAAACGGGTGTGCTTTGTGTGTCCTCAGCTATCCCTTCATGACACTATCTCAATATCTTGCTAGCACGCAGATTTGTTCAAATAGAAGCTAAAAATAATCATAGCTGGCCACCGTTCTGCCGCTTTCTTGGCCTTCACCAGATCTACCAGTTGTGGCAAGTTTAGTATAGGGTTTTATAGAGTTTGGCTGTGTTGAACAAAAAGTATTTGAGGTTTAGCTGACACCAACTGGGTTGGTGTCAGATTTAGGATTTTTGAGTTTATTTGTATCTCATTTGTTCTGCATGCTTAAAGTGTTTCATAATAAAACTGCGTACATTATTGCCAGTTTTGGGGAGTAACTAAAGACATTATAAAATTATTTATATCATCTTATATGTGTACAAAGATACCTCCTGTACTAGCTTCACTGCAGTAAGATGCTTTTTGTTAGTAGCTTACCATTTTCAAATTTGACTTGCTTTAAGCTTGGCCACTTTCAAAGTACTTTCCCCAGCACTGGTTATTTCATATATTCTCATTATATGAAATGTGTTATTGATTTATAATCAAATGATTAAATGCATTGTTTGTTGTCTTTCCACAGTTGTGGACGCTCAGGGTAAATCTTCTTCTCCGGTTCCTTGCCCGGTGGAGTCGCTCCCAGCAGCAACAGCTGCCGTAAGGAGGAGGAAAGAGCGTCCACAGGTGCTGAATCTAACCGAGGCGGACATGGCAGGCGTTTTGCGGCCCAGAGCTGGCCGGCTGGACAGTCCCAGTAACCGTTATGCTGGGGACTGGAGTGGATGCCAGGAAACGTACCTCCAACCGAGCTGCCCAGAGGAGGCAGACTATGACGACGTTCCCAGAGCGTCTCCAAACGCAGAACAGGAGGACTTATCAAAGGGTACTGGAGATGTAATCTCTGAACAAGAGTTGCCCGAGGTGGACGAGGCAGTGGAGAGGGTTGAGGAAATGCAGATAGAGGAGGAAGAGGAAGAGAGTGAGGAAGAGAATACAATAGTTTTGGACAAGCTACAAGTGGAGGAACCTCTTTCCACCAGCCCCTGCAATCAGATCCTCCCTGATCACGAGGAGCACCGACCCAAAGAGCACACCTACCAGGCCTACATGAAGATTCAGGAGATTAGCCCAGTCCTAAGCAACAGGGTCAACCTGCGTGACCTGCAGGAGAGCATTGACACTCTAATCGGCAACCTGGAAAGGGAGCTCAACAAGAACAAGCTCAACATAGGGTACTGACTCTTTACCAGAGCAGTCGAGATATGGTGGTGATTGCCTAGAGACATCAGCACTATGGAACTTTCTTGCTCCCATGCACACTTGGGATGCATGTACAAGAAGACATTCCTCACTTCTGATTTGTTTTCATTTGTCTCCTGGTCTCCATGTTGTTCAGCTCATCATTGTTTTTCTTCTTATGAGAAGAACTCATTGAATCCTGAGGGGTGCACCAGGTGCCTTCATTGTGTTAAGGTGGTGCTTACGATGGCAAGAGCTTTTTTACTTTCTACGGAGGTACAAAATATTACGATGAAAACCAATGCACTTATGGGGCCTGCTGTTAGGCACGGCCAGTTCAGGTACAGGTGTGAAGCCTTATGGTGGGAGAACTAGGTACTATAGATACATCCTTATACCATGGGTACTCAGTCCTGCTCATGGAGATCCAGCTTCCACTTTAGTTCCAACCCTACAAACACCAGATAATCAAGGTCTTGGGGTTCCCTTAAAGAGGTAGATCACAGAAGCAGGATTGAGTACCCTACCCTAACCCCAGCCCTACGACCCTGAACACTACATCAGGGATCTTGAATGCAAATTACCTATTGAGGAGATGGTGTTAGACTCCCTAAACTCTGAATGCTATATCCAAACCCTAACCCTAACCCTATCCTGACCCTAAACAAGGGGTGTCCAATCCTGCTTCTGGAAAGCCACCTTCATCTCTAGCTCTAATTAAACACACTTAATCCAGATAATCAAGGAGGAGGGTAGATTCACTTAAAGAGGAGGTAGATCACCAAGAGCGGAATTGAGCACCCGACCCTGAACCCTACATCAGGGTACTTGAACGCAAATTACCTAGTGAGGTGGTGTTAGTTGGTAGTTTAAAATCCCTGCACCGTACTCCCTAAACTCTGAATGTTATATCTTAACCCTATCCTAAACCTTACACCCACACCCACTGTGTTCGATCCTGATCCTGGAAATCCATCTTCCTGTAGTCTTCACCCTTTAAACACACTTGAACAAGCTAAACAAGGTCTTGGGATTTGTTTAAAGAGGAAGGTAGATCACCAGGAGCGGGATTAAGCACCCCAACCCAACGACCCTGAAACTTATATCAGGGGTCTCAAACGCAAATTACCTAGTGAGGTGGTGTTTGCTGGTAGTTTGAGATCCTTGCAACATATAGGATTAGATCACTCCTGAATTCAAATTTCTTGATAATTTGCTCACCCCCATGTCATCCAAGATGTTTATGTCTTTCTTTCTTCCGTCGAAAAGAAATTAAGGTTTTGGAGGAAAACTTTCCAGGAGTTTTCACCATATAATGGACTTCAATGGGGATCAGCGGGTTGAAGGTCCAAATTGCAGCTTTAGTGCAGCTTCAAAATGGCTCTACACGATCCTAGCCTAGGAATAAGAATAGGTCTTATCTAGCCAAACCATCAGTCATTTTCTTTATTTAAATTATATTTATATACTTTTTAACCACAAATGCTCATCTTGCACTAGCTCTGCAATGCGCATCTACAACTTCACGCATTATGTAATCACGTTGGAAAGGTCATGCGTGGTAAGTTCTTCGTATGTGTACTCTGGTTCGCCTACATCATGTATGACCTTTCCAACGTGACTATGTAACGCATGAAGTCGTGGATGCAGAGCTAGTGCAAGACGAGCATTTGTGGTTAATTTTTTTAGAAAATGAGCAATGGTTTCTCTAGATAAGACTCTTATTCCTCGGCTGGGATCGTGTAGAGCCCTATATACATTTATATAGAACATATATAAATGTTTTTGTTTTTTTTTGAAAATGACTGATGGTTTCGCTAGAGAAGACCCTTATTCCTAGGCTAGGATCGTGTAGAGCCCTTTGAAGTTTGCAGTTTGGACATTCAACCCATTGATCCCCATTGAAGTCCATTATATGGAGAAAAATCCTGCAACGTTTTCCTCAAAAACCTTAATTTCTTTTCGACTGAAGAAAGAAAGACATGAACATCTTGGACGACATAGTGGTGAGTAAATTATCCCGAAATTTTAATTCTGGAGTGAACAAATCCTTTAACCCTATTCTAAACCTTACACTCTTACGAGGGGTTCGTTCCTGCTCCTGCAGATCCAGCTTCCTGTAACCTCCAAACACACTTAAACCAGCTAATCAATGTCTTGGGATTTGCTTAAAGAGGAGGGTAGATCACCAAGAGCGGAATTGAGCACCCCAACCCAGCGACCCTAGACCCTGCATCAGGGGTCTCGAACACAAATTACCCAGTGTTATCCTGTAGTTTGAGATCCCTGCATCCTACTCCCTAACCTCTGAATGTTAAATCTTAACCCTATCCTAAACCTCACACCCTAACCAGGGGGGTGTGTTCCCGCTCCTGGAGTTACAGCTTAATGTAGTCTTCAGTTCCAACCCTCCAGACACCCTTGAACCAGCTAATTAAGGTCTTGAGCTTCACTTAAAGAGGAGGGTAGATCACCAAGAGCGGGATTAAGTACCCTAACCCAAACCCTATGACCCTGAACCCTACATCAGGGGTCTCGAACGCAAATGACCGAAACCTTACACCCTTACCGGGGGAGTTTGTTCCTGCTTCTGCAGATCTAGCTTCCTGTAACCTCCAAGCACACTTAAACCAGCTAATCAAGGACTTGCGGTTCGCTTAAAGAGGAGGGTGGATCACTAGGAGTGGGATTGAGCACACTACCTTAACCCCAACTCTGCGACCCTGAACCCTGCATCAGGTGTCACGAACACAGATTACCTAGTGAGGTGTTGTTACCCAGTAGTTTGAGATCCCTGCACCTTACTCCCTAAACTCTGAATGTTGTATCCTAACCCTAACCCTATCCTAACCCTTAAACCCTAAACAAGGGATGTCTTGTCCTGTTCCTGGAAGGCCACCTTCAGCTCCAGCTCTAATCAAGGTCTTTAACTACTGTCTTTTAACTTTCAGGCAGGTGTGTTGAAGATAAATTTTGCTTGAAGGTGGCTCTCCAAGAGCAGTATCGGACACCCAACACCCCTTCCATTCAGGGAGCAACTAACGCTGCTGGGCTAGTTGAGGTTGTGGTCGTATTAGATTAAAACCATGACTGTTTGAGCTTTTTTCTTTGTAAAAATACTTCAGACGTCCCCCTAAACAAGCTATGGACAGCTGAAGATGAATATGCTTGTAGTAAGTAGTAAAATAATATTTAATAATAGTTAGGCAGAACTTTAAAAAATAAATAATAAAAAAATAACTTAAAATTGCTGATGTTTATTTTTCTTTTGATGGACGCCCCTAAACACATACTGAGTGGGTAAAATTTCACTTTAAATTAAAAGAGCAATCTACCGCCTCCATGGTAACCATGGTAACATACAACACCATGACAACAGACCCACCTTTTGATCATTTTATTTGTAAATGCATCATACTCAGCAGTCCAGGGATACAAACTCATCAGTATTTGACAGACACATGTATGTATGAATATATTTGGAATATGTATTTTCGATTACGTACACTTCAGTTTGTGCATATTTAAATGTTCGTCAGCTACCTTGTAGTATTTGGCCTGTAGATCAGCCTTAAATAAATATATATATATATATTGTTGGATCTATGTAATGGTATAACCCACAGTCACAGAACGTGGAGGGATTCTGGGTATTTTGTGGTCAAGAAAGTGCAGGAAATTTGAGCATTGCATGGTCAAAAGCTTTACGGTCAAAAATAAAGTGTTTCTCAGTGTCTCCTACAGTGGGACGTATTTATGCGTGTAGATAGAGATTATTTTAATTACAGTGAAATTGTTTTTCTCCATTTGGCAGCTGCTCACGTTTATGGCTCGGTTGTAAATGTACAGGTCTTGTGAATGTAAGACTGAATCCTTACATTAGCTGTTTGCTTCTCGCCTGACAATGCTACAGTCTGGTTGAAAATCTTATTTTAAATCTAAATAAAGGATTTGTTACACCGCAAATAGAAAATAGAAACAAGTGAAATCCTTTGGGTCGACTGGAGGTTCGTTCGGTTGCCGTAGCCTCCGTTTCCTCTCAGTGGGGACGGTCACACTAGATTTTAAATATGCAAAAGTATTTACTTTTTTTTTTGCATACTTTTTTGCTAAATATATATAGGCAACAGGATACAATGTCATGCATACAGACTTCTAATTTAAATGCATTACGAATAATAATAATAATAATATATTCAGAAGATTAATATTAAATATTCCAATTTGTAGATTTCAGTATGCATGCTTTTAAATGTGTATTGATGTGAATCTAGTGTGACCGTACCTTTAGAGTGTTTGATCTGGTTTCCAGAAGCCTGATTTGAGATCAGATTCCTGTCATACAGTGACTGATCCACGGTCAGCAAGAAGGAAACTTGTGAGCTGCTTTGATAAAACATTCCTCTGTTTTTCTCTTCTGTCTCTGCTGCGGTTTTTGTAAAAGTTTGGTTGTGCTAAAATGAACGTACGACTAAAGCAGATATTCTTTGTACTGATGTTGAGAAGTATATGATCACATTAAAGGTTATGTTTCATGCAGCCCTGATGACTCGACTGTTCTTCTTCAAATGTCTGGATATATTTAGCAGCTAATTTTTGCAGATGGTAATGTGAATCGAAGGTCAGCGTCGGCTACAATGAGTCACGCTTGTCCTCAATGGATTCACATTTCTGTTCCGAAGGTTCCTGTAAATTTGTCACTGGAACATGAGCTGCCGATCTGTCATGTCATGTGACCACTGATGAATGAACATCAGTCTGATATATCAGGTTAGTCCATGGAAAAAAACGTCTTTCCAAAAAAAATCCTTTAAATTTAAAATCCTTCCATTTTGCATTTTTATGATTTCTAATTTCATGTCTCAGAAGAGTAGAGTAGAGCTATTAAATGAATGTACACAGCAGCTCAAATCATTTAATGGGAAATGTTTATGTTTTGATTGCAGACTTTGATATTTTGGCGACTTTGTATCTCAATTCTGACTTTTTGTTTCCGCCACAGCATTAAAAAAAAAGGTAATTGCAACTTTTTATACATTATGCAATTCTGACTTTTATTTTTCTCAAAATTCTGTTTACATGTCTGTTTACAACTCTGGCTTTTTTTCCTAGAATTCTGAGTTACATTCCATGATTCTGACTTTTCCGGCACGGGAAAAAAATTAAAAGGGTAATTGCAACTATTTATCTCACAATTCTGACTTTTTTTTTTCTTCTCAATTTCAATTTACATTGCACAATTCTGACTTTATATCTTAAAATTCAAATTTTTCATGCATTTCTGAGGAAAAGATATAAAAAAAGATATTTAAAGAATGATATAGCCTCAGAATTCTGACTTTTTTTTTTTTTGTTTCCGACCATGGAATAAAAAAATAAAAAAGGTAATTTGTGAGATATAAACTCAGAATTCTGACTTTTTGTTTCTTCCACCGAATTAAAAGAAATGAAAGTTAATTGTGACTTTTCCGGCCTTTTTTCTGCACAATTCTGAGTTTATATCTTGCAATTCTGACTTTTTAAACTCAGAATTTTGACTTTTTTCACAATTCTGACACTTTGTTTCTGCTACAGATCTTTTCTCTGATTGTGAGACTTAAACTCAGAATTGCAAGAAAGAGTCAGAATTGTGAAATACCTTTTAATTTTTTTTTTATCCCCTGGCAGAAACAGGCTTCCATCACACAGACATTGTTGAGATCTCTTCTGAAACCCATGATGAGACGCATGTGAGATTACCAGCCTGTTTTCCCTACATTCTTCTGCAGCTAGGCTGGGTAAATGTCATTTTATAGGTTGATTTCTCCATCAGCGCAGATGTGTGTCTTCAGCAACACCTGCTCTCTCTGTGATAAACATCCAGAGCGTCTGTCAGCGTTTGGCTGCAATTCAGACGTGTTATTGGCCCAGTCACGTCCCGAAGACCCTTTGATGGGAAGCAAAGCCTTCTGATTGACTGCCTGGAAGAGATGACCTTTGATTGGCCGGTGCTTCATAGAGGTGATCATGCAGATGTCGTCACTGTACGTTTAACGTTTATAACGTAAAATCTGCAGACTTCTGTAAACGGCTGTAAAATTACACGTCTATCAGAGTATCAGACAGAGCTTAAAGGAGAAAAAACCTTTATCATTGTTAAAATGCAGCCAGATGTTGTCAAAACTGCCT